ACCCGACCACTATACTACACACACACACACACACACACACACACACACACACACACACACACACGCACACACATGCATACACATACACATACGCACACTCCTTTACTTCCGCTCCCGCTTCAATCTTTCTTCTAAGGTTAACCGCTCCGCACGAAGCTTCTTGCGTGCCACGTGAATTTGCTTATCATTTCGTGTAAAAATATCGGCGTGATCCTTGGAGACTTCGTACATCGCGACGCGTTTTTGCCCTCCCACCGAGGTGGGCGCGGCGGGCCCGACGGAATCCCCCACGCCCTGATCCGATTTACCCTTTTTATGCTCGCGCCGCCGGGTGAGTTTCCCGCTGGATTGCACCCCACGAAGATGCTCCCGGGCATCCACGTCGTCGTCCTCCGCGTCGTTCCCGTCGTTTTCGTCGGGGATGGCAGAGAAAAGTTCGGCGTCGTACCGCCGTCGCCGCTCATTCGCCGTTGCCCGGCGCTCCTCGATCGTCTGGAGGAGCTTCGCGTAGTCGGGGTTGGAGCGATCCAACGCGAAACTCGCGGAGGTCGGCTTTCCCGTGATCGGATCGAAGGCTTTGGCGAATCGGGGATCCGCCTTGGCGGCGGCGAGGGCGGCGTTGCCCGCGGTCCCTTCGCGCCCCACCGCGTTCGCCTTCTTTTCCGTCTCCTCGCCTTCCCTTTGGGTGTCCTCGTCGGTTGGAGTGGTGCGTTTAAATCGGCTGATGCGATTCGCCCATCGTGTCTTCGTCCGCTGCGCGGCGTTCTCGGCGACGTAGCGGTTGAACTCCGCCGGGTCGACGACCGCCTTCAACTCCCGGTAGAGTCCGTTTTCGATGAACGCGCCGTGCATCACCGGGCGGACCTTCCCATCCGCCATATCCTGCGCGGTGATCCCCAGCGCGTCCATCTCCGCCTTCGAAACGAAGGTGAAGTCGTCGTAGACGGTGGTGGCGGTCTCCGCCTCGAGGTCGTCCGTCATGGCGTCGAGAAAGGACGCCCACCGCGGCGCCGCGCCGAGCTGTGGGATGAACATCACCTGCACCCGCGGCACGTCGCAGCAGATCGCGATCACCCCGCTATCCACCCCCGTCGCCCCTTCCACGACGTTCGCCTCGCGACGGAGGACGCAAAAGTCGTGAATCTCCGCCGGCGCCTCGAGGCTGGTGAGGTTCCCGCCGTCCGTCTTATCCCACACCTTCAACGAGCGGGTGTCGGCGGAGAGGAGGTAAGGCGACCGCCCCGTCGGGCCGCCCGGGGCCTCGAAAAAATACGTCTTCACGATCGGCAGCCCATTCCGGTGATCCTTCGCGAGCAGCGGGCGTTGCAGGCGGACGTCGTAGACCAGCACCTGCCCGCTCG